TCAATAATAAATTGAAAATTCTTCACAAATGTTTGATAAGATAACACATCAGTTCCATCAAAATAATGTAATTCCTGACTAGGAAGTACTTGGTCCCTCTGATTTTCAACAAGTTTAGCCAATATATCGGATATGTCAACATTATTCACAGCCGTTTTAGGGCAACTATCAGAACTCACAGGGATTTCCGGTTCAATATTCACACAACTTTCAGGTTCAGTCACATGATTAGAAACACTGCTGGGAGAATGTTCAGGAATTATAGGTTTTTGTTTCAATGTTAGTTCTGAATCTGACACTCTACTTTTATTTTCTAACACTGTTGCTATTTCTGTTGCTGCTTTAAGTTGTGCTCGCAGACGTATTTCTTTTTGTTTTCTGTTGATTTCTTCCATGGCTCGTTGCATTTCAAGTTTTTGTTTTTCTAGTTGATTGGACTCTTCCAAAGCAAACAATTCCTCTTTTAGTTTAATTGCACGCATTTTGGCTCTAGAGGCTGAAGAAATTTTACTCCCTTTACTACTAATATTCGAGATACTATCTTCGGGATTCACAGTGGGTTTATCATCAACCATAGACATAGTACCGGCCCCATGTGGCGCACGTGCTGCTGTCACTTGTTCGTCATGAATACCGGCCCCGTGCAGGCCAGTCGGCCTGTCGTCATTCTCAGTTACTTCAATGTCATTTTGTATCACATCATCGGAAATCAATCCAGGATCCGAGACAGTTTCACGACTAGAATTTGTACTTACAATTTCTATGTGTGGCTCCAAGACAGGCGGAGGAGGGGTTATGTTTCCCGCTTCACGTTTCTTCATTCCAGACATCAGAAAAACACAAATTAATGTCACAAAAGTGAAAGTCGCACAACACGATGTTTTCATCGAAATGTCAATTTCAGATGTTTTCTACTTGATTATGTGGATGCCGAGCTGGTGAAGACTAGTTCGATGAAGTTCACCCCACTAAATTATTCACATGACACCGCTACAAATCTAAGCTAGTCCCTTTTCAGCATATCGTTACATACGCGCGTCACCGCTTTGATAAAACCCCATGATGTGTCCATAAGAAATATGAAACTGCAACATAACAACTATTTATTCACCATCACATTAGTTATTTCACAAAGGTTCACTGGTTACAAGTCATATTCTGATAGATACATACATAGATAATCTTAGCGTTTTGGCTCGTGTTAACTTGCGGTAGAAAACAGTACGCTGTCACCAGCTCACATCACGCACTTTCATCTTTACTTTCATCGCACATGTTCACAACATCCGCTCGGTTGCTAAGCAACTGACTCGATTTTCAAGACACTAGATACTATCCTACAATATGCAATTAGACTCGATTAACTCACATTTAACTTAATATACTGCATGTATGCACAGACACATTATATTGCCATATGTAGATTTTGAACATTACAGAAACCATTTATTATATTAAATCTATAGGGAAACCATTTATTATATTAAATCTATAGGGAAACCATTTATTATATTAAATCTATAGGGAAACCATTTATTATATTATGGTTTCATAAGCTCTTATTCCTATACAGAAGATTGACTTAATGTATTAATGGTTTCCCTATAGATTTAATATAATAAATGGTTTCCCTATAGATTTAATATAATAAATGGTTTCCCTATTGATTTAATATGTTAAATGGTTTCCCTATAGATTTAATATAATGAATGGTTTCCCTATAGATTTAATATAATAAATGGTTTCCCAATTGATTTAATATAATAAATGGTTTCCCTATAGATTTAATATAATAAATGGTTTCCCTATAGATTTAATATAATAAATGGTTTCCCTATTGATTTAATATAATAAATGGTTTCCCTATAGATTTAATATAATAAATTGTTTCCCTATTGATTTAATATAATAAATGGTTTCCCTATAGATTTAATATAATAAATGGTTTCCCTATTGATTTAATATGTTAAATGGTTTCCCTATTGATTTAATATGTTAAATGGTTTCTCTATTGATTAGATAATTAGTTGTTACTTGTTTTTGTATATAAACCCTCTGTACATTATTTTCAGTATCATTTGCTTGAAAATGTTGAGAGAACCCTCAACGAAACGTCGCTTTAAATAAAATAGTAATTGTGTTCCATATTATGTTTTTTGTATTAAAATCTATTTTTGTGATGTGAACTTTGGATGAGTAAACTTCCGGTTTAACGTCCTACTGTTCTGCTCCGAACTGGACCAATGAAGACGGGCATACGCCATACAGTGTGCTACTGGGGAAATGTTGCCCGAACAGCGGCACTACGGCCTACTCTTGTATCGAATTCCAACTGTCAAGGAATCGTTTACGTGCACGCCAATGTGTACACAGGACCTGGGTTTTTCGTCCCATTCGAACGACTAGACAGCTGTCCTTCAGGCCCTCCGTCCTGCATCACTGACAAGTGGGAACCACGGGACTATTAAGGGGACAGTGCGAAATTTCACAGAACACAAAATAAATTTGCATGGGTTTATCTGTATAAATCATGAGTCAAAATTTGACGATGTAGTTTCTTGTTTGAAATTTTCAAATCGTTTTGCTATTTATGAAATGAAAAACTAACAAGGCAACCATTTTAATAATTTGGTATAAATATACAGAGTAACATACTAGTTGGGCGGTTAAGGAAGACTTTTTGGTAGAATCGTGCATTTTGGGTTAAAAGCATGAAACTTGGCACATAGATGGCATCAACCCTACTGAATATTTTGGGATGTGGATCCACCTCAGCAGCTCCCCCCGGTGGTCGTTACGGCGATTTTTCTCAAAATGGCCGCCAATTTATTGAAATACATATATATCTTTAGAAGTATACATTGTAGAACCATGATCTAGGTGTCTAAATGTATTGCTCGAAGGTCAACCAAGCCAGCGGACACAAAAACATAAGATATAATCAATTACATCAAACAGCACATTCAAAATGAATTAAAAGCATATTTTGTTTAAACTTAAACATAAATAAATATTAGAAATAACTTTTCAAGCTCATTTCACTCTTTGATATGGTTTATAATATGTAATTTAAAGTGGTTTCAGTGTCACTGAACTTAAAACTAATCTAAATATATAGTTTTTCCAAAATCCAAGATGGCGGAAATTCAAAATGGCGGCCAGAATTTCCCTAAAATGGTCGATTTTTCAAATAATCGTCATTTTTAAGTTTGATATGGCTAGTGATATGCGATTTAAAGGGTTTTCTGTGTCACTGAACTTAAATACAACCTCAAAAGAAGAGTTTCCAAAATCCAAGATGGTTGAAAATCCAAAATGGCGACTAGAATTTCCCTAAAATGAAAGATTTTTCAGATAATTGTCATTTTTCCGGTTTTGTATGGCTTGTAATAATGTCCTTTATTAGGTTTTCAAAGTCAATGAACTTGAAAATAACCTCAGAAATGAATTTTGAAAATGAATATTACATCAAAAATGAATTTTGAAGATGGTAGATGATTGTGAATTTTCCCCTTGGATTGGCTTGTAATAGCAAAGAGTAGTAGTTATTTTGATGGTAACTGGAATTGTTAGACTGGATCTCACATAAACAATATTATTCCAGCAAAACAGTGGAGCATATATCAAGTTGTTACGAATTCATCTATTGTTTATTCAGAGTAAGACTCGCCAAGAACGAGGTCAGGAGTTCGATCCCTATGTTTGCTGAGAAAGTACCTCAGGATTTTCCAGGATGCAGCACGGGGGCTTCTCAAGAAACCAGGTTTATATGTACACGTTGACGTGCGCATAAAAGAACTCTAAACAGTTGGAATTCGAAATAAGAGTAGGCCATAGCACCACTGTCTGGACCAATTTTCCTCATAGCACACAGCTTGACGAATAACAATATTCATTAACTTTGTTAGTACAGAGCAGTAGGACATAAAACCCCACTGCATCATTTCTGGTTCAGAAGACTTATGTCCGGAAACCGTTTGTGGTATCATGTAGACAGGTGGATTAATATTTTCATATTTGTCAGTCATGTATTTCACAAAGTGAAAAGTGTAAAATGAATCATCAAAGTCTCTATGTCCGGCAACTTTTGTGGTAGTCTAAATATGGTATCCACAGATCATTTTCGTCTGTAATGTATTGCCACCAAGTTCTAAGTTTAAAAATAATTTGAAATGCATTTACGACTAGTATAGGTATCCCAAAAGTCATCCCGACGATTTCCTCTTTTCTAATGAGTTGTTCTTACATGTAGAACTTGTTGTGAAATACGTCACTGACGAAAATGACCTGTGGATACATCTAGACTCTACCACAAAAGTTACTGGACACAGAGTCTCCGATGCAAAAACAGATCACATTATTATTTCTGAACGAATAGGAGAACTTAAATTCTTAACTGCATATACCATAAATGATTCTCACTCCGGTAAAATGGTGCAAAGACAAAGGAGATGAAATTAAAAATGCCTCAGTTGGCCCCGTTGTATTGTTATGGGGAGGGTATGGAGGGTCGGAATAACCAGATATTTTCTCCAAAAAATGTGTCAATTCTTAACATTATCATTAGCATCATATGTTTTTATGCATAAAACAATTAAACTACATTTATTGTGTCTTAAGGTTAAATTCTTTGAAATTCTAATTAGCTTACTGGTAAGTACTGCACATGGTTAATTGACTGACAGGTACATTCCTGATTCCGGTCAATTTCAGTTGCCCTCAAACAACTATTACACTTTGCTATCATAAACCAATCCAATAGAAAGATTGATGATTGTCCCTTTTTTTTCTGAAACAATTATCTACAATTATCAAATTAAGTGACTCTGAAAACTTAATAGAGGACATATTACAAGCCACATCAAACAAAAAATTGACGATTATCTTAAAATTTGATCATTTTAGGGAAATTCTGGCCGCCATTTTGAATTTCCGCCATATTGAATTTTGGAAACTTTTTTTTAGATTGATTTTAAGTTCAATGAAAACCCTTTATATTACAAACCATATCAAAGAGTGAAATGACTTTTATCTGACAAATCGGCCATTTTAGATAAATGTTGGTTGCCATTTTGAATTTCCGCCATCTTGGATTTTGGAAAGTATTTTTTTCTTTAGATTAATTTTAAGTTCAGTGACACTGTAAACCCTTTAAAGTATATATTACAAACCTAATCAAACACTGAAATGACTTTAATCTGACCAATCGGCCATTTTGGGTATATTTTGGCCGCCATTTTGAATTTCCGCCATCTTGGATTTGGGGAAACTAGCTTTAGAGATTATTTTTCAGTTCAATTACAACAAAAACCTTATATTGGATATGTTACAAGCCATACCTTGCGTGATAATCACCCATCCTATCTGGAAATTCATTTTTCTTCAAATTTTGGCGGCCATTTTTGAAATCAGACAAACCCCAACCGAAAATGACGTCATAGATAAATCTTTTTTCAAAAATCGTGTTCAGCTAGCAATTTCGCCTCTGGAAATTGCTGGCCTGAAATGATTTGTAAAAAAAATGTCTTATTGTGACACACCTAGTTATATGTATTTCAATGGATAGGCGGCCATTTTGGAAAAGATGGCCGTAACGACCACCAGGGGGAGCGGCTGGGGTGGATCCACATCCCAAAATAATCAGTAGGGTTGATGCCATCTATGTGCCAAGTTTCATGCTTTTAACCCAAAGTGCACGATTTTTTGCTTAACCGCCCACTACACATGATATGTTGTACAAAGTATTATTCATTGTAGATGTACACAACAATTCGGATAAGAAAGTCACAGGTAAGAAAGTCAAAGCCACAGTTAAGAAAATCGAAAGACAAAGTCACAGGTAAGAAAGTCAAAGCCATAGGTAAGACAGTGGAAAGAAAGTCACACCTAAGAGTCACAAAGTCAAGTCACAGGTAAGAAAGTCAAAACGTCACAGGTAAGAAAGTCACAAAGTCACAGGCAAGAAAATCACAAAGTCACAGATAAGAAAGTAAAAGTCAAAAGTAAGAAAGTCAAAGTCAAAAGTAAGAAAGTCAAAGTCATAAGTTAGAAAGTCGAAAGTCAAAGCCACAGGTAAAAGAGTGGCAAGAAAGTCACAGCTAAGAGTCACAAAGTCAAGTCACAGGTAAGAAAGTCACAAAGTCACAGGCAAGAATGTCACAAAGTCACAGGGTAAGAAAATCAAAGTCACAGGTAAGAAAGGTACAGGAAAGGTACAGGTAAGAACTCTAAAAAATATTTCAATAACAACAAAACTGTGGAATGATGTCATGGAAGTTTTTGATTTAGAATGAATAGAAGATAGCATTATAAACAAAATATGAAAAATATATCTTTAAGGTCGAACATATTACTTCAAGGCCGCAGCTAAAAGGCTTCTGTATATTAACAAATGGAACAACAAAAACAAACAACTTTCTTAGCTCGACCTAAGTTCATACTCCACAGCAGTCGCAAGAAAAACCCAAATAGTTAAATAAGGTTCAAGGAAAATCTAGCCTCGGTCTATCGACTGTCGTTACTAGAATTACTATTCGTTAAACTGCTATGGCGAGACGCGAAGGCCGAGTCTACTGATGCTCTGGAAGATGTCTGCATCAATGTCTGCCACCAATCACCGGTTTCTTGATCATTGGTTACCTGAAAAAAATGTTTTTACAAATATTTAAAAAGACATAATATTCGAGCCCAAGTATACTATACAACAGTAATTTAGCCAAAACATTAAAATATATCAATTTTAAGATATGTTATGGCCACCTTAATTTTCCATAAGGTTATCAATTCATTTAAAATGGCGACATGTAGCATGAGGAACATTTTAATGCTTGGAAACATCCAGAACTGGTCAATACATCCTTAATTGAAAATTATAATCAAATATACTCACAGTAAAATATTCTGACTGTGTTTTCGATTTTCATAAAGATTGCGGCAATTTCTATAATTAGTTTTCTGAAACAGACAAGAGTGTAGGCGACATTGTAGGTTAGAATCGCCCTCTAGATATTCAGCCGAATTTTGATGAAATCACTCTTGCCAATTTCTATTAATAAATAATTAATCGCACATTGTTTACCATGAGTGCAGAACTTTAAGCCGAATTATTATTTGTTTTATCCAAAAAAGTCTAACTTTAGTTCTTCAATAATAGAGAAGTAGTTATATTCATATATACCATGGTTGTTTTTGCTGTGGAAAGTTTAACATGTGGCAAGTATGATGTAAAAAAGCAAGTAATACACCAGCGGTCTCCGCCATTGCTCTTACATATACTGCCGATTATTGTTAGGGGATGAAATAAAAATAGTGCCAAAGACAAAAATTGTGTGTGTTGGAATCAATTCGTTTTGATTGTCCGGTGTAAGGATTCAATTAAAGATGCATTGACCCTAATAATAGTGAAGAATATTTAGCTCAAGTCTAGCCTACAACCCGCGTACGGTGCGTGAGGCTTATGCGTCACTTGCGTGTGCTCGACACCATAGAAGATCTCAGACCGGCCGTATGGTCCTCCACATACAAATTTTCACCCGGTTTCTTACGGCGGGTCTCCAGCCACCAAACGCTACGACTCGTGCGCCCCAAAACACGTACGGCGGGGTTGTGAGCCAGGCTTCGGTTTCACTGAAATTAACAGGTAAAATTAAATGAAATGGGGTTTAACGTCCCACTGTTCTGCTACGACTGGGCTAATGAAGACGGGCATACGCCATACAGTGTGCTATGAAGGTAACTGTGCCTGGGCAGCGGCACTACGGCCTACTCTTATATCGAATTCCAACTGCCAAAGTATCTTTTACGTGCCCGCCAATGTATACATGTGACCTCGGTTTTCGTCTCATCCGAATGATTAGACAGCTGTCCTTGTCGGGACCTCCACCCTGCACTACTGACAAGGGGAAACCACGTTGAAAAATCCCGATGAACTTTCTCGGCCAATGCAGGGATCGAACACGCGACCTCCAGGCCAGCGAGCCACCGTGGCTCCCTGAAATTAACAGACAGCCGGTCTTGTCGGCGGTATTGTGTTATAAACGTTACTTACATCATCACAGTCCTGAAAGCCGGGATTATTAAAACTAATCTCCGATACTAATTCCTCTACTTCCTCACATTTTCCCAAATTAGGATTACGATATTTGATCATACTGACTAATGTTAAATCTTTACTGTAAAACAAAATAAACATTATTTTTGGAGTAAACTCCCCTCGCTATCTATAGGTCACTTTAGGGCTAACATATCATATGTTTAATCAAACAATAAGCTGAGATTCTTAGATGTGTGTGGGTGTGTTTGGGTGTGTGTGTGTGTGTAAGGGGGGGGGGGAGTCGGTCATTGAAGGTTAAAGGAGCTAAATCTATTTTTTGCACCTTGAAATGGAGACAAATTTATCGCAACGCATATAATAATGTAATATGACTGTATATAAACTGATTTACATTCAGAGTCCAAATTTAATGGCAGCATTTGGCGTCTGGTTATTCCAGTCTACAGGGGTAGTATTCTTCTGTGGGATATGTTTAGCTTCGTTCATGAAGTCACCTTATTACAAATGGCTCTCAAAAGCATTCTGGCACGCGATTCGTGTGGCAATTTTAAAATTTTCGTTTTGTCTTAAATATTGGAAATCAGAAGCACATCTCTTCACGGTAAGATAGCATCAACGTTGATTTAAATTGACCAATAAGTCGTGTTTGCAATGTCGAAGACTGTGGGTGATATTGAGTTACAGACTTGCCTCCTTTTAGCAGACCAGCATAATCATGGACACACCCACGCATAGGATCGAACCCATGGTTTGCATACATAACAGACCTTATGATTAAAACGGCTGGGGTTGTAAAAATATAGCATTATATAAAACATTTGGAGGTGGGTGTGGCTCACGGTAGCACGATGGGATACAAAAATTCCTTAACCATAGACCGAGAATCTTTTCATAATCTACTGGTAACGATATTTGTTCGTCTATCAATCAATCTCCAAATTTTTCAAAAGAAAAGGTCATCCAGTAACTAACTGGTTATCCAGAATAAAAATCTTGAGAAGAATCACAATGCTGAACCGTCTAGCTGGCTGGAAAATGTATCTTTTGGGAGTTGCCGAGAAGTAACAATTTAGATGTTAGTTTTCTTTTTCTTGGACAAATAAAGGACACACCACATTAAAAAAAGAGAAATGGGGTTTAATATCCACTCGACACAAACTAGGACATTTCAATAATTCGATTGCGCGTAGGGATCTTTAGCAGTGGGAGGAAACCGGAGAACCCAGAGAAAACCTACGATGCTGGACAAGCGACCTTATTCCTTGTCACGTACAAGCGGAGAATCGAAACCACGCCAGTTGACTCAATGACAGACCTTATGATACAGCGCGCAAGTGCTAACCATTCGGCCATCCAACCCCCAAACCACATTAAATCAAATAAACTTACTTTTTAGAGCGTAAATAATAGGCCAATCCACTAACAAAACAAATAATCAAAACAGCTCCTAAAACCACACCCAATATCCATAGTTTAGATTTACTAGCAGTTTTACCAGTACTAGATCCAGGTATACTACTAGTATTATCTGGTTTTTCTAACAGATTTAATTCACACAAGGTACCATTATAACCCGACAAACACCTGTAATAACAATGGAGAAACATACGAAACAAGGACAACTTTCTGTACTCCGAAAATGTTTAAATTCAAACTAACGGTATATTTATTTTTTCATAATTTGGTTGCCTATAAGGGTTTTCAGTAGTAGCAGGAATCCATAATGGGGGTGGGGGTCGTCCAATTAACACAATGGCATTTCGTGACTAATTGATGACAGAATTTTATTTCAATAATTCGTTTGGTCGAAGGGGTCTTAGCAGTGGGATGAAACCCGAGGAAAAACCTACATGTTTGGGCAGGCGACCCTAATCATTGTCACGTAAAAGCAAGCAAATCACATGCTTTAAAGCCCCCACACGCTATATGCTATAGTATACAGGACCATATTTAAATAAAAACATTCATATCCATTGAAAAAGAATGAATGATATCACATGTTTTAAAGCCCCAACACGCTATAATAAAATCCTAATATAGTATTCGGGACCATATCTGAATAAAAACATTCATATCTATTGAAAAAGAATGAATTAAATGGGGGTTAACTTTCTACGTTTATGCACCAGTTGGACATACGCCATGCAGTGTGGCATGAGCGGAATTTTGCCGACACTTTACCGAATGCCAAAGGTTCTTTTACGTGAACGCCATCAAGTACACAGGCAAAGCTCACGTACCATCTGAAGGCTTAGAGTTTTTTTGCCGCCAGCCTTCCATCCTACACCACTGACAACACTAGGATAGAACCTAGGACCTCTTGGTTAGAGTCACCATGGCGTCCGAACAACTGATGCCAAATAGGAACCCCGCTAAGATTGCTTTAGTTGACATTTGTGATCAAATTAAATACTTACACGCATTTTTGTAAAAGATCGTTTTGTTGACAATAACCACCGTTCATACAGTTTAATATACATGTTTTATTATCAGGAACTGGAAGCATATCATGGTGTACTACAACAGAAGATTTCTGTGATCGCTGTGATGCCGTATTCATATACTTTATACCGCTGCTATCTGAATTGGCAATAGACTATATAGTATCATCAATCCTGAATGACATTCAAAAGTACGAAATGTAATGTTAAAGTAAAAGAAAAAGAAAAATGGAAAGCTTGTTTTTGTTCTGCGCTTTTACAGAGAGAGAAACGGGGTTTAACGTCCACTCGACAGAAAATAAGCCATTTAGGGACTAACATACGATTCAATATGATTTCAATAATTCGCTTGTGCGTAGGGGTCTTTAGCAGTGGGAGGAAACTGGGGGACCCGTAGAAAACCTACGAGGTTGGACAGGCGATCCTACACCTTGTCACGTACAACCGGGGAATTGAAACCACGCCAGCTGACTCAATGACAGATCTTATGATACAACGCGCACGCGCTAGCCATTCGGCCACCCCTTCTCCCTCTGCGTTTCTACACCATTCGAGCCAATGAAGACGTGGATACATTATAGCAGTCAGCAACGAGGACGATTTTCGGCGGACCAGGTTTAGTTCCATGAGAGTAAGCAGAAATGAAATGGGGGTTTAACATCCCATTATTTTGCCCGGACTGGCCTAATGAAAACTGACATACGTCATGCAGTGTGCTATGGCCTACTACGTCGAATTCCAACTGTCAAGGGATCTTTTACGTGCACGCCAATGTACATCCGTTTTTCGTCCCACCCGAACGACTAGACAGCTGTCTTTGTCAGGCCCTCCGTCCTGCACCACTGACAATGGGAAACCACGCCGAAAAATCCCGATGAACAGAAGTTGGAATTTTACTAATTCATTTCTTGATAGTTTGTCAGTAATAGGTCCCTATAAAATATCTTGATACTTTCTAACCATACATAAACAGTTGTAAGTATGTTTCAATATAGTGTAAAATACAGTCGAAATGTTCTTTCTCTAAAATCATAATGGTTTTTAACTTTCCTTTGAGGGTTCAATAATTGGAATACTAGATAAGATCATCCAGGCATTTAATACTGTGTTTCACAAGTAAAATTAACTATGAAATTGTACGTATTCGGAAAATGAATTTCAGTAGCTGATATCGGAGTCATTAATAGGAACCGCCACCATCTTACTATTTACTGATTGATGTACCACGTCTTTGATCAGAATGGCTATTAAGATGGTCCATGCTAGGGTTTATTAAAGAGTTATGTGAAAAGTGGTGACATGCACCCTGTGTCCCAAGCGTCCTTGACTGTAAATGTAGGGCTTTTTGTGGGTGGCGTTGGGGGTAAGCTATCTATTAGGTCAAAAGGTTGGGAACCGCCGACTTCCTAGACTATAAATATGTGTTATTTTACAACCTACCAAAACAATCACCAGTAGTTCTATTTAATGAATAATTATCTGGACAAAGACACTGTGCTCCCGCTGGTGTTGATATACACATAAACTGACATACAGCTGTACGACATGGTTCAGGACCTGGAATTTATTTTAAAAAAGGTTGATTTGATAATTTATTCATTTTAAAGCAATACAGTATCATACATACGAACATTTATCTAAGCCATGCTAGCAAATTAATCGACACACAATACCTCCCGGTCTATTTCTACCCAATATGGCTAATTCTAACAATTTTTGTTTTAGATAGCAAAACATTAGGCCTTGGTGTACGTGCATAGAAATGAATTATTAGACAGGAAAACATTTTGGCCTTGAAGTACGTGCATAGAAATGAATTATAGATGTCGAAGGTAATGGGAACTTCAGATTGTCCTAACGTCCTGGTAACAAAACATAATGGGGAAATTCAGATCGCCCTAACTTCAGGGATCGCCCTAACTCCCGATTGACCATATAACAGTAATTTACCTGGGGACTGTTTAATTGGATGAACAATTTTAACTCCCATGACGTTAGACATGCTAGTCATACGAATGTGATCTTCTGTGATTAGTACAATTTTACTGATACCAAGGCTATCAGTAATATAAGCATGACTCTCAAACACGTCTAAACTACTGGGCTTTTTAAATAATTTACCGCTTATAGTTGCTCTGAAATAAATTCAAGGAGAAGATATTAATAGAATCGACATTGGGTTATGAATGACAATCTATTCCAACTAGTAGTCAAACTACAAAGTCCAGTGGTAGAATTAGGCAAAATATGAATTGTTGTAAAGACGCACTGGCAGACCAATTTAGAACTAGAATTCATTATTAGGTTTCTTTAAAAACATAGTGTAAGTTTCCCTTTAGGGAAAGGATATGATTGTCGGCGATTTTCAATTCACTTTCAAAACCACTGCACTGATCGCAATTTGTGTGAATTTTCATTCTTAGCAAACTACACTCACTAATGTCTAAAGGGAATATTACTCTGTTTAGTATTCATATTTAGTAGTCGATACAACGGTAACATCATATGTTTTTAATCTGATTGAAACAAAGAATAACACTATCTACTGTTGATATATATCTTTAAAAATTTATGATTTTATATTGTCCGAAAAATGGACATTCATGATCACCGACCAAGTTTCTAAGGTTCAGGGGAATGGAGCGTTTGTTAATTATTTATTGTACTTACTTATGATCTCCGTTTAAATCGACTGACTTAATCCAGCTAAAGAAGCTATCAACCCAATAAATCCGATCTTTAACATAATCTATTGATAAACCAACCGGACCATATATCTGTGAACTAGTTAAAGTCTTCCGGTTACTACCATCCATCCAACTAGACACTAACTGTTCATTATTGTCAATCCAGTACAATTTACTGGAAAAAAAAAATTGTGACCAAAATGTGCCTAAATACTGTAAGGGGAAAATTCGACGAGTATTTAACATAATAAACATGTTTTCGATATTTATACAGCAATGTACTTATATATACTTAAAAGCTATTTTAAATTAGTACCTACCCTTTTGAAGGATAAACAGCAATAGATGTTGGGGCCCAATTTTTCTGAGTCGAAAGAGTTGAACACACAATTTTGTCTATATTACAACAACCAATATCGCCAGTAGTATTAAAATAATTGGTATAATATACAGTTCTACTGATCCAATCAACAGCCAATCCACCAATATAACCATTAACATCTAACAATACATGTGACTGATTCCCTGCCGTAGCATGGATTGATGATCTAGAACTGGAATGCTAAATAAAATATAAACGTAACCATACAAACAGCCTACATCAACATGTGGCTTTAGAATATACAGTCTAAAGTGGATTGCTAAAGAAAGTTTATGGTATCACTTCACAGTGTGACTATGGGTGTTTGGTGGGCAAACAAAGTTCTACAAGAAATAACTCACGAACAATTAGGACATAATCTTCATACACTACTGCCTACAACATTAACATGTGGCTTTTGAATGGTTAGTATAAAGTGGATTTCTAAAGAAAGTCCATGGTCACCTCACAAAGCGAGTGTGACTATGGTGTTTGGTGGACAAAGTCAACCAAGAAATAACCCACGAAGAATTAGTACATAATCTGCATAAACTACTGCGATTTTAAAATATTCCCAATTCAAAAGAAATGGATATCTTACTTGAAAAGTGGACCAGATAATATCACCAGTTTTAGAGATTATATCTACATGTATAGCTGGTATTGTAGTTGATATTAATAAATCTGTTTGTCCGGTCTGACCATTAGTTGAAACTCTATGTATACCTTTATCATTGGCTACAAGAAGATACGGTCGTACACCTAAAATAAAGGGAAGAAACTCTTACAAATAAAACTTATAAAAGGAATTCGTTTTACAAAATATAAACGGGAACAGGCAACAGCAAATCTCAAATCATTGCTAGCAAATCCAACAGAGCAGGTTTTAATAAATGTGTTATAAACTCTGTTGTATTATATTGATGAATTTGAAATGATAGGCGGATTGGGCCAGGGTATTGGATTATTTAAAAGATTTTAGGGGCCATAATCCAGGAGTTTACGGCCCGACATGCACCAAAATACAAAGGAACGAGAATTTTGGAATATAAACAGGGGCGACGACAATCTACGTTCACATGAAGATGGGGGCGTATAAAATATATATATAGATTTACCTTTAGCCAGACATGTTTTATTATCAGAGGATAATTCATAATCAGCTCTACAATAACACACAACTTTTCCTTTTAACGTCTCACATTTATGACTACAATCACCATTCTTTATTAAACAGTCGTTAGCATCTACGAATAGAAAATCGAATTCATATCCATTAATTTAAAGCTGCCTATTGTCATAAACACAATCTAACTTTGTCAAAGTCGGGTCTTTAAAAGTAATACAGATCCAAAAATGGTTCCATTCAATTAAGTATTTACAAAGATATGATAGGACATAGTCAAAACGTCCGTTAACCGAAGCGGTTAAAATTCACTTTGGCTGGTCAATAATTGACCAGTTTGGTGAAGGCCGTTTGACTATATACCATATTAAATATACATTATGCAAGAGCTAAATCTACCTATTGCAGGTCTTTCTTTAGGCCTGAAAGGTTATATAAACTATTAATCAGACATTTATTAACGAAAGAAGGCCATAATCAACTCTCGATGGGATAGGACATTTGAGATTTTAACTAGATTAGAACGGTTCGCCATTTAAAAATTTAATTTAAAAATGGGAAAGCGAGGCTAAGTCTAGAATATACCAGTGCCCTGGTTACCACAATGCACACTTGTTGTCAAAACTACAGTGATAACTTGGCTCAGAATAGAGTAATTTGAATGAAATTTTCAATATTTTCATTTTACATTATCTATTTTTTTAGCTATTATACATAATGTATCTTTAACCAACGCTTGGTGGACCTCATTAATTCCAGGGAATTCTGAATATATGATCGCGTGGATTAAGCTAAATATGAAAATCAAAGATTATAAAAAAATAAAACCGTACAATATCTTTGAATCATGATTTAAACCAAATTCAATATTCTTTGATTATGAATCTATCGGATACAAGACTACCATCTGGCTGCTCTTAACTATAAATTCAGAATTAAATTTCTTACTGCACATGTTTTCATCAGAGCCATCTTGGCAATCTTTTGATCCATCACATTCCTCATCTTTATCAATACACGATCCATCCGTGCACTGAAAATCATCACGTGGACATTTTGCCATACAATTTTTTTCATCTTCACCACCCGGACAATCCTTATAATGATCACATACCAAGGCTTTTAATATACACATATACTCTGTACAACGAAACTGTCGATTATTACACTCTGTCGGAACTAGAATAAAATAACAAACATGGAAGTTTTCAAAATGAAATTGGGTTTAACGTCCTACTTTTCTGCTCCGATTATAGGTTAATGAAGCCCAACATACACCATGCAGTGTGCTATTTTGCCCGGACCGCCTTGCTACGGGCCAAGTAGCAGCGCCGGGGGGGGGGGGGGGGGCAAGGGGGGCCATTTGCCCCCCCCCCATTATTCTGGTCTGCCCTCTGTTTCCCCCCCCCCCCCAATAACTTTAGAAAAGAAAAAAAAAGTATTTGTGATACGTTTCGGTAATCAATACCTTCTACGGTGAATAAATCCCACAGCCCCACTCAGTCATAAACTTGCATGTTGTAGAGCATTTCCGACAGTCTAGTTTTCAAAATTTTCTTGGCGAGGTCCCCAATGGACTCGCTACTTTGGCGCTCACAAGGGGAATTCGATGAGGTTCGCAAGTCCGTTCGTTTGACATTTTGTTCTCTAGTCGGATAAACTAGTGATCAGGCGACGGATGGTATCTGGTCAGATCTATTTATCTCGACGATCGGTGCCTGACAGAATACTGTAAGACAGCATTTCCAGCAGTCTAATGTTTACATGGGACCTCGGTTTTTTGTTCCAACTGAACGACAAGACAGATGCCTATCCAAATTTTACATGATTGTTTATGATACTAATTATATTATAACCGCCATAAAATACATTACACATAAAATTGACGGGGTTTGCCTTCACGACTAGTCAACACATTAGAAAAATAAATCCACGTTTTGATATACGTACAATAATGTATACCCGGTTGTTTAATTGTGATAATTTTAGAAAGAATAAATATTTCTACTAACTTTTATACAAATATTAAAATATTTTATTGTGAGATTCTGAATTGTGATATATTGTCTAAAAGTTTCTCTACTCCAGGACTATCAACCAGCTATCTCGGGACACCCTAATTAAAGCTGGCTCACAAAGTTTCAGTGGCCGGGCAATAACTCCGTATCAAACTAATGTGCAACTCGATAGAATTTCTTCCTTATGCAAGTCAATTCCAGAAAGTTCGAAAAAAAAGAAGAAATAAAATATACGTGTACAAAAAATCAAATATTACTGGATTCGTGATGCTTTTGTGTCTATATCATATTCGGTTTACTTTCGTTTTCAATGGTACTCCCTGTACCTACCGCAATTTGTAGTTACTTCATCTGTGCCATTTATACAATCTAAAGAACCATCGCACATCCATCGGGGAGGAATACATTTACCATCTGTACAACGGAACTGATCACCACTGCATTTTGCTGAAATAATAATGACTTTTTGGATAATCATCAGTTTAGGTATGTCATATGAGACTAACCTATAGAAATGAAATGGGGGGGGGGGTAAGGTCCTGCTCCGACTGGGCTAATGAAGACGGGCATCCACCTTACAGTGTGTTATGAGGGAAATTTTGCCCGAGAAGCGGCACTATGGCCTACTCTTATATCGAATTCCTACTGCCAAGGAATCTTTTACGTTCACGACAATATATATACGGGACCTAAGTTTTTCGTCCCATCCGGACGACTAGACAGCTGTCCTTATCAGGCCCTTCTTCCTGCCACTAACCTATAGTTATTTTCCACACAATAATTTAGTAACTGGGATATCTTGTTTTATTTCACTATACTGGACATAAATTACGTCCATATTACTTCCGTAGCGTCCAAGACAAATTTAAACTCACCAGATGCGTCAAAACAATCTAAATTGTTGGTGAGAGTGAGAAATGGGGTTTAGGGTCCAATAGACACAAACTTGATCTTTTCGGGACTAAAACATAGTTAAATTTTATTTCAATAATTCGCTTGCACGAAGGGGTCTTTAGAAGTGTGGGGGGGGGGGGACGCAGACGACCCTAATCCTTGTCACGTACAAGCGGAGAATCGAAATCACGCCACTTGACTCAGACCTTATAATCTAACGCACACGTGTTTAATCATTCATGTGTGCATCCGCCAGTTCCCATCAATGTGGTTAATGATATCTTCTTTATCAGACTTTGAGATTATTTACGTCCACGTTGGTGTTAGGGTGTTATTTTAGTGTGGTCTCAATCCTATCATGTTTTGTAACAGTTTTCTGTATGACTGAAGGTCAAGATCTTTTTAAATAAACATGGCGGCAAAGATTAGTAGTTTTCAAATAAAGATGGGAGTTAAGTTAGACCAAACAAATTCTGAACATTATCGAAATCAAAAAAATACTGACCAGCACAGTTCAGTTCATCAATCTTATTAGGACAATCAACTTTATCATCACAGTTCTGTTCTGGTTTTAAACATGATGACGTCATACGACATTTGGTTTCCCCTTCTTTACAGGTATAGCCATCTTCTGTTAAATGTAAACAAAGGTAGAACATAAATGAAACGGGTTTAATATTCTGAAATTCTGCAGCAAGAGAGAGAGAGAGAGAGAGAGAGAGGGAGTTTAACGTCCCTTTGACACAAACTAGGTCATTTCATGACTAACACATGGTTCAATTTTATTTCAATAATTCGCTTGCATAGGTGTCTTTAGCAGTGGAAGGAAACCGGAGGAACCACGAGGTTGGATAGGCGACACTACTCCTTGTCACGTACAATCGGGGAATCGAAATCACGCCAGTTGACTCAATGACAGAATTTATGATACAGAGCGCACGTGTTAACCATTCGGCTATCCAACCCCATGCAGCAAGAGGGTAAATAAGACGAACCCATGCTATGAGGTGTGCTATATGATGGCGGTGAGGGCTCCATTATAGCGCACGCAAATTGGTTGACCGCGGTTTTTCGTCCCATCCAACTAGACGATGTTTCCTTGCCCGGCTCTCGGTTTTGCATCAATGAGAAGGCGAAACCAGACTGGAAAATCTTGAAGAAGTTCTTCGCCCAAATCGTGATCAAACCCGGCACCTTCTAGTTATTTTGCCAGTGCCATAATCACCAAACCACTGTGGTGTAGATATAACTTTATTACAACTTACTGACACAAGTTTTGCCATCATCATCCAGCTTGAGTTCTTTAGGACATCGACAGGTTTTTTGTTGACTGTGTTTAGCCAGACAAATATGACTACATCCACCATTGTCTGTACTACACTGATTCTTTACTGTAACCATTAAAATATAGTAGAATAAATTGTAACGGTTGTAATTAATTATATATCAGGATCAAGTTATATAGCAGAGTAAAGTGCAATGATACAGTTAAAAAATTAATATAAAAGGACAAACTGTAATGTGATAGTCCAAAACTATAGCAAGGAAAGGTGTCGTAAGTTCAAAAATATAGCTGCATAAAATGTAATGTAATAATGAAAAATATAGCTGCATAAAATGTAATTTAATACTACAAAAATATAGCTGCATAAAATGTACTGTAAAAATGAAAAATATAGCAGTATGAAATTTAATGTAATAGTCCAAAAATATAACAGTACAAAGTTCAACATACCAGTTGAAAATATAAGACTGTAATATAACAGTTCAAAAATATAGCAGGATAAAATAATTGTCAAGAATGTAAAATAATATAATAGTAAAAAATGTAAATCAAACAATACAGACGGCTAACATGTAATGGCTAAATAAAATGAGTCGTGATGACCTTGTGGTCAATGCCTCTAAGGATCTGTTACGTACAATAAATTACAAGATGGGGTGTGATGGTCCAAAAATATGTACATGTAAGTGGGATCATCCACGAACCTTTCCTTTAAGGACGATAAGGTAAGTGCAATGGTTCAAAATAAAGGAAGATAATTACTTTCAATTTACCCCTATTTCAAATGTATAGCCAGCAAGTGTATAAACAGAAAATGGACAACTTGCCTGGTTTAATCTTCATATCATATACCAGAGTTAGACCTCTCAAACTACCCTGACCTCTATGAAGTAATTTCTTCTCTTTACTAGTGAGATTAAGTGTATGTATACTATCAGTCTTCCAATCAGACCAATATATAATATTATCAGCTATTGTTAGTGACAAGGGTTCTTCTGTAGATCTTTAAACAAAATATTAAAAATATTAAACGTTCTACTTATTTCTGACATGAGATTAGCTTTAAAAAAAACCCCACAAAAACAAACCTAAATATGTTTAGTCCAATCTAAAAACATCCCAAACATTTTAAAATATCACTACATGTACTTTCGGCTTAAAACCCCTAAAAATATGTCAGAGGTCACCCACCTGAAGAAACCCAACCCTGAAAATAGCACACCGCATGGCGGTGGTGTATGTCTCAATTGAATTCCAACTGTCAAGGATTCTTAACGGACTACTTTCTCTCTGCTCCGGGATCGAACCCGGGGCATCCTTGGTTGTTAGGCACCCATTTTGTAACGGAAAGAGAGAGAGAGAAAATGGGGTTTTACGTCCACTCGACACAAACTAGGTCATTTCGAGACAAACATATGGTTTTAATTTTATTTCAATAATTCGCTTGCGCGTAGGGGTCTTTAGCAGTGGGAGGAAACCGGAGAAAACCCACGAGGTTGGACAGGCGACCCTACTCCTTGCCACGTACAACCGGGGATTCGAAACCACGCCAGTCGACTCAATGACAGACTTTATGATACAGTGCGCGCACGCTGTTATAACCATTCAGCCATCCAACCCCCGAGCTCCGGGATAGAACCCGGGGCAATCTTGGTTGTTAGGCACATATTTTGTAACGGGGTTTGGGGCTTTACATGCAGAAAAATTCCATAAAAATGGAGTGAAAACCCTCACCTTATTTTAATGGATCCACAAACTGAGCTACTATCAAGTCTAACTTATCACTTCTACTCATTTTCCCGAAATACGTTTTCTACGTCAGTATCAAACAAGGGAGAGCACACCAGATTTATTAACCATATTTATTTAGGGAGTTAAAACAATTATATAATGCTTACACGGTATGTGTTATTCTTTTTTCACCATCGACAGTTACTGACACAATCTCCCCTAATCTAGCATCCGTCCAATATAACCGCCCTGTGTTCTCGTCTACAGTTAATGAGTTTGGATTACCCAGGTTTCTTGTTATAAGATGGTAACAATTCTTACCATCCATATCACACTTGTTGATACAGACTACCTCACCCCAATCACTAATAAATAATGTACTGGAAAATAAAACAAAAAATGTGATCAAGTTAATCTGAGAGAGAGAGAGAGAGAGAGAGAGAGAGACATGGGGTTAACGTCAACTCGTCACAAACTAGGTCATTTCGGGACTAACGCATGGTTCAATTTTATTTCAGTAATTCGCTTGACTCGTATAGATTTAGCAGTAAATTTATCGGTTATTTGAATTGTTAAAATGTTCATAACAGGATACCCGGCTTTGCCCGGGGCCTAAAATTCGATGGCGTAAAACATTCACTGGGCCATGCTGGTTAATTCGATAGCAAATATATGGGTGTAGAGCGCGGCGATGAAGTGTGATGGGCGAACATACATTCGCCTGTGGCCCAAATTCGATGACCTGAACCATTTACGGGGCCATGCTGATTAATTTGATAACACATATGGGGGTGAAACGCGGCGACTAAGCGGGATTCGCTAGTGGCACAAATTCAATGATCTAAAACATTCACGGGGCCATGTTGGTTGATAGCAAATATATGGGTGTAGAGCGCGGAGATGAAGTGTGATGGGCGAACATACATTCGCCAGTTTCCCAAATTCGATGGCCTAAAACATTCATGGGGCCATTCTGGTTAGAGCGCGGCGACGAAGGGTGATGAGTGAACATATACACACATCTTTCATTTTATTTATATAGATCAATTAATGGAGGTAGAAATAACACCACATGTAAAGTAACACGCCATTTTTTACCAAATTCATTACAGTCTTTGTTTGTCTTATAGAAATGTTATTGATACCCTTGTTGTGGATGTAAAGCCAATGCTCTTGGTTCATGTAGCTGTGTAGATGTTAATAATACAGCCCTAACTTTACGATCTAATCTGGCTACTTCTAGAGTTTTCTGAAACAGACCAATTAACCTGATTAAAATACAGATCTATATTTTGTTTCGTATTTTTATACTTTCGATGGAGAGAGAGAGAGAGAGAGAGAGAGAGAGAGAGAGAGAGAGAGAGAGAGAGAGAGAGAGAGAGAGAGAAATGGGGTTTAACGTCCACTCGACACAAACTAGGTCATTTCGGGACTAACATATGGTTTAATCTTATTTCAATAATTCGCTTGCGCGTAGGGGTCTTTAGCAGTGGGAGGAAACCGGAGGACCCGGAGAAAACCCACGAGGTTGGACAGGCGACCCTACTCCTTGTCACGTACAACCGGAGATTCGAAACCACGCCAGTTGACTCAATGACAGGCCGTATAATACAGCGCGCGCACGTGCTAACCATTCGGCCATCCACCCCCCCCCCCCCCCCTACTTTCGATGGCCTACACTACATAAAGATCTGACCGGTTGTACTGGAAGGTCGCGTCAGGTGTCGTATGAGCAGCTTTTGTCCTACGACATCAGACATTGATTAATCAATCAGCGTTGACGTTTATAGTGGTTTACCCACAGTTCTGTGCATCGCACAAGAACTCGGCGTAACAGACCGCGTTTCATTGGCCAATCCCTCACTTCATCCAGAACGACGGTAATATAACAACTCTTCCAGATCCTAGTGTAGTAAAGACAAGTAAAACGAAATTTTGAACTATAAAAAACGAGACGAAAGATTGGGTTGAACGTTATATTGTTTTACATATACAGGGATAATTTAAAAGCCTTACACTGTGCTATATAATTATACAGGATATTTTGCCGTTACCGGGTGCTACATAGTGAGGTTCATTATGTTATTAGCATGGAATTTCTATTCACAGAAAAATAGCTTTGGGTATGATAGGCCTATTTTCAGGAATATACAGAATACTATACATTACACTACCAGGCTAGACCCTGGGGTGGGGGTCACTTCCCAAGCAGAACCCATATATTTTATGCATTCGTCCCCACTAGTCATCGAGTTTGAACTGCAATCTTGATTTTTCTTTTCATCTGAAAGATTAAATGCCACTTCCTTGACAGGCCCCATATACTGCACCACTGACAAGGGTGTGGGGTGAAACGGCGGAATCATGAATTTAACCTCTTCGTTGACAGGCCCCATATAGTGCACCACTGACAACAAGGGGGTGAAGTGAAACGGGAAATCATGAATTTAACCTCTTCGTGAGCATTAAATAGATTGGGGCGTTAAGAAGGGAAGCATATGTATAGATGATAATGTCTTTCAAATATTGTATACTCGCCTTTTCAGAATCAACCCAGAAGACATTCCTAGCCACCCAATCTACCGCTAAACTTGCTACTTTCTTGATATCACCACTGGCTATTACGTCATGGCTATCCATAGATAATAAAGACATGGTAGAAATACAAATAAAAGAGAGAAATGGGGTTTAACGTCCACTCGACACAAACTAGGTCATTTCGGGACTAACTCATGATTCAATTTTATTTCAATAATAGTTCGCTTGCGCGTAGGGGTCTTTAGCAGTGGGAGGAAACCGGGGGACCCGGAGAAAACCCACGAGGTTGGACAGGCGACCCTACTCCTTGTCACGTATAACCAGGAAATCGAAACCACGCCAGATGACTCAATGACAGACCTTATTATACAGAGCGCATGTGCTAACCATTCGGCCATCCAACCCCAAACAAATAAGAAAACAGGAAGGTACATATTACATACTGTAAGAAGGCAAGACATTGAAAAGCAAAATTAAACAGGGTTTGAATTGAAATAAGAGATGGTTATCTTCATTGAGGAGCCACGGTGGCTAAGTGGGTAAGACGCTGACTTGCTAGACTGGAGGTCGGATGTTCGATCCCTGCATTGGCCGAAAAAGTTCATCGTGATTTTCCGACATTGTTTCCCCTTGTCAGTGGTGCTGGACGGATGGCCTGACAAGGACAGCTGTTTAGTCATTCGGATGAGACAAAAAACCGAGGTCCCGTTTATACATTGGTGTGCACGTAAAATATCCCTTGACAGTTGGAAGTCGATATAAGAGTAGGCCATAGTACCGCTGTCCGGGCAAAATTTCCCTCATAGTACACTGTATAGCGTATGCCCGTCTTCATTAACCCAGTCGGAGCAGAACAGTGGGACGTTAAACCCCATTTCATTTTCGTTATCATTGAAGTCAAAACGTACGGACGGACCCCAGTGCTTCAGATTCCTTAAAAATACCATGGCGTGTACACCGTTAACCCAAAAAGGCCATTCAATTAATAAAATGCTCATACTAAACTTAGGCTGTCTGTCTACAGTTAGCTCCGTTTGAAAACAGACACTAAAGTTGACCGACATTCGACGATTTTGGTCGAAAACATTAAGTATGTTTCGAGAATTTTGAGAAGTATTAATTTTGAATAGGTTTATTTAGTCTCTGTGTGTATGTCAGATGTGAACCGGAGTAGAACCGGATTACAAAAAAATATCCTAATTTTTGGATATGGTGACCATTCAGGACAGAGATCTATTCTCGAAGTATGAAGTAGATGGATCTCTGTGTGCAGAATGTAAAATGCTAAAACGAAGACTTACTCATGACGTGCTCTGTTACTTTCTAGTGCTGTTTGACAAATAACCGGTTCATCATATTTGTTTAACGTGGAATGTATGACGTGATGCGATATAGGATCATAACCTAGCGAAAATAAATCCCCTTCGTCATCTGTAGACAGGGTCGTGAAGGGTTCACTGCCAATATAGTCTAAGGAAAACTGTAGGATGTCGGACTTTTGAGCAACTAATAATATCTTGGTTGATACTTTACCTGAGAGAAAAAAACAAAACAGATGATCAATACTGGTATCAAGTATTCACAGTGCTCTGGGCATTTTTTTTTGGGGGGGGGGGGGCTTGGTATCACTTACTAATTAATATGGATAATTTTCTGTTTAATTAGCAAATACAATAGATGCATCAGAAGGTAAATATTTGCATCAGATACAGTGCCCGCTAAATAGATTAATTCGTAAAATTACTTCTAAAATAACCGAAAAACAATTAAAAAAAACAACATTTTATTATTGTCGGGATAAATTAGACTCTCCGACGTCACCTCTTTTGGACTTATTCTTATTGCAGTCAGAATACCACACTGGTGTAGGAAAAATACCAATTTATCCACAAAGATCACAATATTCTCTCAGATATAAACGACTTACGTTCACAAGTTCGTTGATCCTCCATTAACTGGTAACCTTGGGGACAAGCACAACTGTAACCCTTCTGAGTATTACTAAGAAGACACATGTGACTACATTTCTCTAATAAACAAGAATTACCTAGTCGCCCTGAAAACATTATTATAAGGTCTGTAATTTCTATTCAACAAAATCCGTTTAAGTCATTTTCCATTAAAACTCAATATAAACTGAGGAAACAATCAAAGAGAGAAATGGGGTTTAACGTCCACTCGACACAAACTAGGTCATTTCGGGACCAACATATGGTTTAATTTTATTTCAATAAATCGCTTGCACGTAGGGGTCTTTAGTAGTGGGAGGAAACCGGAGAACCCAGAGAAAACCCACAAGGTTGGACAGGCGACCCAACAATCAAATATGCAACTGGATCCTGGTCACGGCACCAAAACGGGTGCTAAAACGGTTCAATTCTACTTATTACGCGTTTGTAGTAAACAGTTACAAGATTCCATATAAATTAAAAGGACGTAATGATGGTCTATATAACATAGGTTTGGGGTCTATATAACATAGGTTTGCGGTATATATAACTGAATCCTAAAGTAGACGGTTTGTGGTATATATAACTGAATCCTAAAGAAGGTTTACGGTATATACAACCGAATCCTAAAGTATAAGCAAACACTAGGGGGATTGGTAATTCATTACGAAATGAAATGGGGTTTAACACCCTATACTGTTCTGTTCCAATTAAAATTCATTACGAATCTACTGAATAACATTGACTAGTTTTATTAATATTCATTGTCACATGAATACATTTGGTATTTTTTATGGAAAGGGAGAGAGAAATGGCTTTAATATTTTAATATCTACTGATGTCATTTTGGGACAAACATGGTACAATTTTATTTCAATAATTCCCTAGGGATCCCTGGCATGGGTGGGAAACCTGGGGGGTGGGTGTCAGAAAAACCAACACCCGAACGACTAGACACCGATCCTTGCCGGGCCCTTGAGGTTATGAACTGGGTCACAACGGCTCCCTTAAAATAAAACGTTACCTTGTGTTATTCACTGAGCCACAACCGCTCCCTTAAAAGAAAACTAACGTTACCTTGTGTTTGTAATGATGTATGTAATATAGCAGCAGCTGTAGTAGCAGGTACAGACCGTACTAGATGTTTTATATCTCGACTCATAAACTTATTACCAGACATTACAGTATGTTTAAGACTATCAGACCACATCATCGTATCTTCAAATATCACCAATAAAGATGGGTTGTGGACCTCGTGAGCCAAGACAATCTGAAAGACAATACAAAAATATATCACGTTTACTTAGGAGTAATTTATCTAAATGGGGTTGCTAGACAATATTTTTGAAACCGGTATTAAAAGGGAACAATTGGCGGTTGTAAATGCGGGCTTATAATTTAAACATAACGTTACAAGGTGGCTTTAATTTTTAGCAGACAAGGGCAAGAACTCATATGGAAAATATGTCTAGTTAGTGAGATGACATGAATTTCAATTAACCCATTGTTGGCACCAAAATAAAAGTATTGTTTTGACTAGATCTTACAACTCGAAAAATCAGTCATTAAATATATTTTAAAGACAAATTAAAGATGTATTATGTACGATTTAGATAAAGGCCTGACCGTTCTTGCTATAATAGTTCAAAAATAGATAATGAAAAATGAATATATTGAAAATCTCTGTCACATTATTCGTTTCTGAGCAAAGTAATCAAGCTTTGAAATGTTCACAATATAGTCTCGGTTGTCAAGTACCATTGTTACAATAAACAAAAGTCTCGATAATGCAGTTTTAAATTAAATTAATTTCAATCCATTGAAAATCGCGACCATCCGATGGTCTATAAAGTTGAATATATGGACTTGACATGTGAATAAATGTCTTAATAATTTATATGATATTTGAGAACAAAACACCTGCTTTAGACAGATTTAGCTCTTACATAATGCATCTTTAAATGTCATTTTAATACTAAGTGTATTATTAACAATAAAACACTCACATGTCTGTTCTTTCCATCTAAATCAATTCGTTCGATTCGATTCCATATCGTATCGGCCCAATATAATCGATTAACCGTGTAATCGACAACAAGACATGTTGGTCGACCAAGTTTCACAGTAACAAACGGTTCATTATTTCTACCGTCCAGCCAGCTCTTGTTAATTCTTACTTTAGAACCAGTCTCCGTAAAATATAGATTCCTGTATTAAAGGAAACCAATAGGTTAGTCTCAGTAAAATATAAGTTCCTTTATTAAAGATACATTATGGGAGATTAAATAAAGAGCTGATAGTTCTCACTATAATAGTTAAAAACTAGATAATGTAAAGGCAATTTGCTGAAAATTCAGTCAGTGAACCAAGACTTTAGCGATTGAATTTTCGGCCTAGCCTCGATCATCATTGCTAAAGTCGATACGATAAAAAAAAGTCTCGATTATCCTTTTCATGATTAAATTATGAATGGAAGTCGAACAGCAAATCGGAACCTAATCCAATAAACATCACAGGCTAGCAGTGCCATCGAGAGTTGATTATGGTCTGGATAAGTTAATTAACATTTCAGGACTAAAGAAAGATGTGCAATAGGCAGATTTAGCTCTTGCATGATGTATGTTTAAAAGAAACCAATAGGATTGTCATTATCTGTTAACTTGCATTAAGAATTTAAGTGAAAGAAAAGAAATGAAATCTATAGAGGACAGGTATACGACCGACTGGACATTTTAACCAAACAGCGACATTTTCCATCTATTCTTCACACGAACGTGTACAAGGGACCTCGATATCCTTTGCCATGTGATAGCCACAAGAGCCTTCTCGGCAAACACTTGAATCTAATTCTGCACATCTTGCCTTATTTTAGTTAGCGCCTGACTGAGCAACTGTGTCTCACTGTACGTGAAAATTCTTTTTAAGAGAAATATCAAAGAACAGTCAGAACTTCTTTTCGATTTACACTTTAATTTAATCTTGTAATGATTTTTGTAACAAATATATTTACTCGGTAGCTGGAAAATATTCCTTAATCGATTTATTTAGGATCTTGAAATGTCGAAGACATTTTTAACTTGACAGATTAAATTTCATAAAAACGGCAAGATTTACATTATATAAATTAAATATAAGAATCATATCAGGTACGGACTATCACATATCGCAGAAAGTAATACATTTAGTTCAATGTAATAATCTTATTTAGATTGTTTTGTAACAAAGACTGCAGTTTGATGTGTAATAATCTTGAAATGTAGTAAAAAAAAAAGACAAAGCTTTACGTAATATAAATCTTAAAAGAGAATAAGAGACGAACAACTTTATTACAACACAGATTCTATTTCATTTCTTTTTGTTTATAGTTCAAACTTTCGTTTTACTTGCCTTCCTTATACAAGGATCTGGAAGAGTTGTTATATAACCCACGTTCTGCTTGATGTCAGGGTCAGGAATAGTCAATGAAACGGACTGTTCATGGGTCTAAAGTCGCTCATATGACCCCCTGAATTGACATCATTTTAACCGGTCAGGTTTTCATGTAGTAACACAAAACGAAATAAAATATAGTTCAGTAATTCAACAGGATTAGAAGAGAAGGAGAGAAATGGGGTTTACGTCCACTCGACACAAACTAGGTCATTTTGGGACTACCATATGGTTTAATTTTATTTGAATATTTCTTTGCGCGTACGGGTCTTTAGCAGTGGGAGGAAACCGGACGACCCGGAAAGAAACCCATGAGGTTGGACAGGTGACCTTATTCCTTGTCACGTACAACCGGGGAATCGAAACCACACTAGTTGACTCAATGACAGACCTTATAATACAACGCACACGCACTAACCATTCTCCCCCCCCCCCCCCAGGATTAAAGAGACGAGCTATCACATATGCTATAATGTAATACACTTGGTTTGGGGGATCACGGTGGTTAAGTGGGTAAGACGATGGCTCGCTAGCCTGGAGGTCGGGTGTTCGATCCCCGCATTGGCCAAGAAAGTTCATTCAGATTTTCCGGCGTGGTTCCCCCCTTGTCAGTGATGCAGGACGGAGGGCCTGACAAGGACACTGTCTAGTCATTCGGATGAGACGAAAAACCGAGGTCCCGTGTACTCATTGGCGTGCACGTAAAAGATCCCTTGACAGTTGGAATTCGATATAGGAGTAGGCCGTAGTGCCGCTGTCCGGGCAAAATTTCCCTCATAGCACACTGTATGGCGTATGCCCGTCTTCATTAGCCCAGTTCAGAGCAAAACAGTAGGACGTTAAACCCCATTTCATTTCAATACACTTGATCAATATTTGTTTAAATTTCCTTGTGGGAAATAGAGTGCGCTTTGATATATAATACTCCTGATAATGTGTTAAGATTATTATCTGTTTCATCAGCTTCCACTAGAAACTATGTAGTCAATCAATTGATGCATTAAGTACTTCTGAAATTGTCACTTGAAAATGTAACACTAATCCTTTATCGTTATTATATTTTTATAATATTCAACAACTGGTTAACGTATCAGATATAGGTCTTTTATGTAGGCCTACAGTGAAACCGAACAATACAGATGGATTGCCAAACAACGAAACATTCGCCCATGGAAGCGAATTTGCCAGGGCCCTCATTCACGAAAACTTAAACTAAGATACAATCGAAATTTTAAGAAATACTGCAATTCGATTGGCTGACCAGTAAAATCAATTTACATATATCCAATGAAGTTGCAGTATTTCTTAAAATTTCGGTTGTAACTTAGTTTAAGTTTTCGTGAATAAGGGCCCAGGACAATTTATAAACAATGTCACATTGTGGTTTTATAGGTACCTAGAAGCATTTACATAACAAATGGCAGGCGTGATCATGGATAACAACTCTTAAAGTAATGGTCTTAAACCGTTGAAAATGAATTTCAGAGTGAGAAGAGGCGGTTGCGGTGAGGGTCATGGGGCGAGGAACAGAAAGCATCAGCTGTGGAAGGAAATCAAAGGATCAGGACATAGCCACAAGGTTAGGCAGGCTACCTCGCTCCGAGTTAACTTTTGCATGAATTAAAGGCCTACCGTCATGTCACTTGGCCATCTCACAAAAGTTTTTGCCCCCCCCCCCACCTTAGTTACACGCCTGGTTCTTACCTATTATGAGAATCTACAACTATAGAAGTTGGTGATGTTAAATTAGATAAAATAACTGTACAACTATCACCATCTGGTTTACATACTATTATCTCACTTCTACCAGTATCTATTATATACAGGTTCTCTCCTATCCAATCATATCCTAGTCCCACGGGCGATACCAGTCCTACAATAAATAACAGTTATATTAATCATATCCTAGTCCCACGAACGATATATAATAATCATATCCTAGTTCCACTTGCAATACCAATTCTAAAATACATTAAATTGCATACCGCTGTTCTCTCCTATCATAGTATAACGGCTTGTATTCCACTTACCAACAACCAACGTTTAGTTTTCCACTTACCAACAGAGATAACCGTTAGTTTTCTATATAATACTCGTCCTTCTACTCTAGATTTATAGACCTTTTTATCATAATTACTGGACCAGAATACAGTCTTTGATTTGCTGTCAGTTGCTGAAATTAAATTATTATTTACAATACGATAAATGTTTCTAGGTTTTCTCTTGTCATGCTAAATTACCAAACAAGAATGTTTGACTTCAAAAACGATATTTCTAGGTGCCCAAAATCGGGTACTTATTTCCATACATAATTATAGAGATCAGGAATCTCCGCCAGTTAAACATGCATTATGCAAGAGCTAAATCTGCCTGTTGCAGGTCTTTCTTTAGGCCTGAAATGTTTTCTAAAGTATTAATTAGACATTAATTAAGTGATCCAGGTCTTAATCAACTCTCGATGGCATCAGATTTCTCCGATATTAACTAGATTAGAATGGTTCAGCGATACTTTGATTTAATCAAATATGGAGGACCGAGACTTAGCTTCGATCAACCAGTACGGTGGTTGAAATTATTGCACACGTCTGTCAAACCTTCAAAGGCTAATATCTTCGTTTGTAATAGAGTAATTTGAATGAAATTTTTAAATTATTCATTTTACATCATCTACTTTCGAACTATTATAGCAAGAATGGCTAGTTCTTTATCTAAATCTTACATAATGTATCTTTAATAAGGCCATGTTTGTTTTATAGTTTTAGGTTCAAATGGCTTGCCCAAAATCAAAGATCTCATAATTGGTTGATCATACAAGATGTATACCAAACACTAAATCAAATTCTTTCCATTTAGACACAATTATTAAATATGAAAATTTCCCAATAAGCTAAAGGCAAAGATACTATATGTGTAGAACCTTTCAGAAAGATATAGATTTTTGAGATATGCTTCGAGAAAAAAACGGAATGGACGTGATAAACCATGAAGTTACGGCCAAATAAGCGCCAATATCGACAGGAACAGATCTTTGGAATATAAACACATTTTAAGATTTATCAAGTGTGACCTCTAGAAAGTCCACAAACTAAAAACGCGATTTTTCGAACAATCAGGGGCAATAATCCATGAAGTTATGGTCCGATACATGCCAATATGGAAAGGAACCGAGATCTTTGGGAGATAAACCTATATTTCAAGTTTCGTCAAAATCGGATAAAAATTGTGACATATAGAGCGTCCAACAAACAATATGTGAACCGATTTCTTTGGGAGATAAACCTATATTTCAAGTTTCGTCAAAATCGGATAAAAATTGTGACATGTAGAGCGTCCAACAAACAATATGTGAACGGACGCGCGGACTGACAGGGGCGACAACAAAACACGTGATAAAATATTTCAGGTTTCCCATGTTATAAACAGATTCTGTGGATCATACGGTACATGAAAGAATTTGTATATTTTTGCTCAACTTACCAATACCGGAAACGCCGCTAAGATCTGATCGGAACAATGATGTATCCCTTGAACGTAGATTTAATCTTGTAATCGATGTTCGAGTAGAATAGAATAATATTGGTTCTTCACCTGAATATCAAAAATAGTTAAACATCTCGTAAAATAAGTAGAGGCCGGGGGAGGGGGGGGGGGGGCTGGGCTGGAAAGGAAGTCTCTAGTCTTTCGGCTAGGATATCTACATGTATTAGTGTTTAACGTCCGCTTCCACCGTGGGTGATATCGCAGGGCAAGTTGTCTTATTTCTATTATCTTAGCGGGCCACCGCGATCTTTCCTGTGAGAGGACACCTAAGTATCCGGAATAAACCCACGAGGCTACCGACGAGGTGAGGCAAGGGACTACGCGTTGTCACCTATAAGTGTGGGATAGTCACCATATCATTGGATTCAATGTCACAGACCTTATGATCTAAAGCCCCCCCCCCCCCCCCCGGGTCAAATATAAGTATTACCTTTAGCTTTACAGGTGTGATAATCCGGTTCTAGATCATATCCTTCTATACAATTACAGGAATAACTTCCTTTACTGTTAGAACAATTCTGGCTACATTTCTTCCCCCATTCATTCTCAACATTACACTCATCTATATCTGTTAAAAACAAATAATAACATACTCATTTATATCTGTTAAAAACAAATAATAACATACTCATTTATATCTGTTAAAAACAAATAATAACATACTCATTTATATCTGTTAAAAACAAATAACATACTCCGTTATACATGTTTAAACAATAAATAATAACACACTCATTTATATCTGTTAAAAACAAATAACATACTCCGTTATACATGTTTAAACAATAAATAATAACACACTCATTTATATCTGTTAAAAACAAATAACATACTCCGTTATACATGTTTAAACAATAAATAATAACACACTCATTTATATCTGTTAAAAACAAATAACATACTCCGTTATACATGTTTAAACAATAAATAATAACACACTCATTTATATCTGTTAAAAACAAATAACATACTCCGTTATACATGTTTAAACAATAAATACCTCATTTGTGTCTGTTTAAACAAATAACACTCATTTATACATGTTTAAACAATAAATAATAACCTTAATAACCTCATTTATATGAATAAACAATAAATAACCTAATTTTTATCTGTTTAAAACAAATAACATTTATATATGTTTAAATAACGTAATTTATATATGTTTAAACAAATAACAACACCCATTTATACATGTTTAAACAATAAAAACAGTAATAACCTATTTCATACACTTATTTATATCTGTTTAAAATAATAAATAACATACTCAGTTATACATGTTTAAACAATAATAACCCCGTTTATATCTGTTTAAACAAATACTCATTTATATCTGTTTCAGGCAATAAATAGTATCATATTTCATAATCACCCATAGATTTTTCTAGAGAAAAGTTTCGTAATTTACAGTTTCTGTATATACATCGATGCTCAGGAATTATATTAATTGGGCACATAATTGAGTTTTATTGGCGAATTTCATAATCCTGGAGATACGTCAACTTATGTAACTTCAGTGAATTGTTCAATGATTTAACGTTACATTTATTTTATTATCTGTGATCATAGGTCGTAAAGTATTGTTCAAAGACTTACCGTTACATGTTTTATTGTCTGGATTTAATTGATACCCGGTCATACAAACACAGGTAACTTTACCTTTAACTGGTGCACAGCCTTGTTCACATTTCAACTCTTTACATATCGATGCTATAACAAAGAACAAAACATATGCCTTTATACTCTAGATATAATGTCAAATTTAGCAGCAATTTCCTTTCTGATATAGGTACAAATTTATAACTGACTTTCTGTAGTTTGTTCTGTCTTTATTTTGTTGTAGAGTCATTCTGTGCTGTTTGTTAGAGAGAGGAATGTGGTTTAACATTATCTCAACACAAACTAGGCCATTTATTTCAACAATTCGTTGACCATTGGTGTCTTCAACAGTGGGATAGAGCCGGCGGTCCTCAGAGAAAACCCACGATATAAGGCAGGCTTCCGTATTCCTTGTGTACAAGATCGGATTAGAAACCACACCACGTGACTCAGTAAGAGACATTATCTACGGCACAGACCACTAGACCCCTACCATACATTCGGCCCACCTCCTGCATCTGGCATTGTGTATTATATTAGAGATTCCCAATCATTTTCAATTCGCAGATACCTTGGCACATTATCAGAATTTACTTTTTTCATTACTGAATATTACTTGGCTATCTTAATTTCACGGACAGAAACCCCACCCAACCCGTTTGTACCAACGGACACTCTTAGAGCCCATCCCTCTACCGCAAAGAAATTCTTTTTCCAAATAACAGTTTCATACAAAAGTATGAATGCCTTAAAAAAGTTATTTTTATTTAACGAAGCAACCCTCTGTTTCTCGCGGTCGACCCACGTAGAACCACTTGGGAGTTCGCGACACCCCCAGGCCAGGAAGGGAAACACCGTATTCGATCACCATAAGACACGGGGTAAACTTACAGCAGTTCTTGGGTTCATCTGATTCATCCAGACAATCGATTTTATCATCACATACTTTTCTCACATCTAAACATTTCTCAGAGTTTGTACACATAAAATACCCTGGTTTAGATTCACATCGCGTCATATTATCTGAAATATAATATTCATATTATAACGTATTAGGGAAAGGTTCGGGAAACCTCTTAAACATACATTATGCAAGAGCTAAATCTGACTATTGCTGGTCATTCTTTAGGAATAAAACGTTATCTAAACTATTAATTAGACATTAATTGACTTATCCAGACAATAATCAACTCTCGATGTCATCGCTAGCCTGCGATATTTACTGGATTGGAATCCGATCTGCAGCTCAACGCCCATTGATGATTAAATAAAAAAAATTTGGATAATCGAGACTATGTTTTTTAAAGTACCGACTTTAGTAATAATGATCGACGCTAGGTCTAAAATTCAATCGCTAAATTCTCGATTCAGAGTTGATCAATTTGACTGAAATTTTCAGTAAATTGCCTTTACATTATCTAGTTTTTAACTATTATAGTGAGAACTGCCAGCTCTTCATCTAATCTTCCATAATGTATCTTTAATGAGGCAAATGTCATATATGCCAAATTGGAAGTCAATGATCTGATCCATTACTAAGATAGCATTTTCTATTATTTCTTAGTTAAAAAGAAATTTCCTTCTAATAGAAAATTGGTAAAAAGTTGAGTAATTGATGTCATATTTCTAAAAATGATGTTTTCATATTATGTTTCTGTGGTAAATACTACTACAGCAATTTTCAAGAGGGAAAACATGCCGAAACATTAACAAATTGGTCAAGAAGGCTTTGACAGTGTTTGGTTCGATTACTTCGCGTGATTCATGTATGTTATATAAATGAAATGGGGTTTACTGTCCTACTGTTCTGCACTGCACCGACTGGATTTATATAATACTTACGGCACATAATTCTATTTTCATCCGATCCATCAGCACAATCCGGTACATCATCACAAACCTGATATCTCGCAATACATAAAGTTGTATTTACACACAGAAATTGGTCTCGTTCACACTTTGTAACACCTTAAAATAAAATAAACTGGAGTTTAACGTTCCACTGTTCTGCACTGACTGGGGAAATAAAGTGGGGTTTAACGTGCTACTGTTTGCTCCGACTGGGCTAATGAAATGAAATGGGGTTTAACGTTCTACTGAAGTTCTGTACCGACTGGGCTAATGAAGAAGGGGGTATGCCATGGGTTGGGTTAGTAATATCTTGAAGGAAAACGATACCTGATAATTTAATGATAATTCCAAATTTATCTTTTTACTAGAAATAAAAACCAAGAGAAAACAGCCGTCGAACCAAAAATGAAATGGGTTTTAACGTCTTACTGTTCTGCTCCGAAGTGGGCTAATGAAGACGGGCTTACGCCATACAGTGTGCTATGAGGGAAATTTTGCCCAGACAGCGGCACTACGGCTACTCCAACTGTCAATGGATCTTTTACGTGCACGCCAATGTGTACACGGGACCTCGGTTTTTCGTCCCATCCCAACGACTAGACAGATGTTCTTGTTAGGCCCTCCGTTCTGCATCACTGACATGGGGGAACCAGGCCGGAAAATCTGGATGAAGTTTCTCGGCCAATGCAGGGATCGAACACCCGACCTCCAAGCTAGCGAGCCAGCGCCTTACCCATTGACCCCCCCCCCCCAACCTTGGAACAAACAGGTTGCTATTAGTAACATAATAGCCATATCTACATGTTTTATTTGACAGTCAGGTTATTACCTCCAGATTCTGAGTTATCAATATAAGACAAATGAAAAGATTATGCTGAAATACTCAGCAAATTTGACCAATCAGTTTCTAAACTCGAATATGGTCATTTGAATATTGGTGGTAACCCCTATTTTTGCCGAAATCACCCAAATTTAATGGACCTTATCTGCAAAACCTTTAATCCGATCCAGCTAAAATTCGGAACATCGGTTACATTCAAAGTAAACGCCTAGATGCAGTAACATCACACAGAGGCGACGACAGTATACCACCACATGAAAATGTGGGCGTATAAAAAGGAATGTAATGATTTACCACAATTCTTTTCATCAGAACCATCCAAACAATCTTCAGATCCATCACAAACAAAGTCACTGGGTATACAGGCATCATCCTTCGCACATTTAAATGAACTGTGGACACATGTCTTTAAGTCTTGATCAGCTGAAAAATAAAACCATAAATTATACGCTGAAAATCGTATTAAAATGAAATGAGGTTTAACGCCCTATACATTTCTTGCCCATACGGGTGAATAAAGACGGCTATAAGCCGTGCACAGTGTTATGGTGAAAATTTTGCCAGGACCACGGCGGTACGGCCTACTCTTATATCGAATTCCAACTGTCAAGGGCTCTTTCACGAGCACGCCAACGTGAACACGTGACTTTGGTTTTTGTCCTATCCGAACGACTATACGTTATCCCTTGCCAGACTCTCTGTCCTGATCCTACACTGACCGACTTACAGCATGACTAATGGTTGTGTTGATATGATCCTACCGACTTACAACATGACTAATGGTTGTGTTTATATGATCCTACACTGACCGACTTAAAACATGACTAGTGGTTGTGTTTATATGTTTTTAATATTCAAGGGAGGGAGAGAGAAATGGGGTTTAACGTCCACTCGACACAAACTAAATCATTTCTGGACTAACATATGGTTCAAATTTATTTCAATAATTCGCTTGCGCGTAGGGGTCTTTAAGAGTGGGAGGAAACCGGGGGACCCAGAGAAAACCCACGAGGTTGGACAGGCGACCCTACTCCTTGTCACGTACAATATGGGAATCGAAACACGCCAGTTGACTCAATGACAGTCTATGATACAGCGCGCACACGTTAACCATTCAAAGACTTACAACATGATTGTTCATCTGATCCGTCACTACACTGATCAACACCATCACAATTAAAATCAGGATCAATACATCGTCCATTATCACAGTTAAACCATTTAACAGGACATACTTCACGTGCTTAAATAAAACATATAAAATAAATCCCGATTATTATTGTAGTATTGAAAATAAATCTTACGGTTCTTTATTTGAGGTAAAACGCCATTGTAAATAACATAACTGTGGCTGTGGGTTGATTGCAAATATTTAATTTCACGTAAAGGAAGGAGCTTATTTAAAACACTCTTAAATATCAGAAGGCCAATCAACACTCAATACGGGGTTACTCTATTATCAAAATATCGGGGGACTAAGCCCTAACGTGATCGGTAGAATAAGCAAGTTTACAAGCCTGGAAATAAGGCACCCGTCAAAGACAATGTCAGGCACAGATTCAGGCTTTGTCCGGCACAAAACCTCTGGTGCCTGTCATTTTGTTCGGCACCGATCTGTCTTTTTTATTGATATTATAAATACATGTCCGGCACTAAGTTCAAAATGCCAGGTACTATTTTATAGTTGTGTATCTTTTGGAATTCTGTCAAATTTGCCGTACTTACTACAGTCTTTTTCGTCTTCACCCTCTGGACAATCTTCATAATTATCGCATACCCACACTTTATTTATACATTGGTTGTTTTTACATGGAAATTGGTCATCAGTACAGTTGTGTACAGCTTCATCCTCGCTTAAAATAGGCCACCATAACCCTGGAAAATAAGATATTATAGGCCTACTGTATAATTCACTCAGTCTGATTAAAATACAGATCTATATTTCGTTCCGTTTTTTTATACCTTCGATGGCCTACACTAGTGTAGTACAGACAAATAAAACGAAATTTTGAACTACTGTATAAAAAATGAAACGAAATAGGATCAGATTGCTGTATAATTTGGAGACAGCCACAGCGTATTTATTCTGTTCTTCCTTTTCCACCATATATACAAGAAGTACCAATATACTTCAACTTCGATTAAGAGAGCACGATATTGGATTTAACATCCACTCGACACAACTGAGGCGGGACTAACATATGGTACAATTTATTTCAGTAACCTGCTTGTGTTTAGAAGCTGGAGGTAACTGGATGCGGATTCAACTCTGTCACGTGCAAGCTTTTGGGATCAAACCCGCGCCACCTGACTCAATGACAGGCCTAATAATCTAAAGCACACACATTAGACCCCCCCCCCCCGCACCACTCCAGCCAACACACATTAGACCACTCGGTCTGGTCGATTTGTCCGGTTGAATGGCAAGGTGGTGCAACTCTTTCTTGGTCTTGTTGTGAGTGCGGGGCCTGGTCCATTCTTCCTTTTGGTCTTGTCAGGTATGGTAGTATGTCTTCTACAGGTGACGTCACATTACGGGGCGTCCATCATTGACTATGGCGCATGCATTGTTTACATACGACATTGTTGCGTTAACTGGTTCGGGCAGAATGGTGCCTTTTACTCATTTTATATACCAATTTACACTAAATATGAAATATTTTTATCCAGATAAACTCCGAACACAATTATTTATTTTTCTAATACTTGAAAAAAATGTTTAAGAATCTTATTTGCAGGTAGAAAAAAGTTAATATCACGAGCTCATTAAGCCACACCGATGTCATCCCCCTCAGTGATTGTAGCAGCCCAGCGAATATTCACTGCTGATCAGTGTGGCACAGAAGACGCCAACTTAGAAACCTTCGGATGACCCCCCCCCCCTCTACCCGCAAAAAAAACCCCGGAATACTTATATAAAATGTCATCATGCGCTCTTTATAAAGTCATCAACATCAAACCATTTTTTTTTTTATCTCAAAATAAACAAGAGTTTTTCATGTCTACTTGTTATTGTAAAATAATGGTGGAAGGCTTCACATCCCTTCTTCTATAATATCAAAGATTCTTTCATGTCTTATTGAATGATGTTAAATAGAAACGCAGTTTAATGAGGATGGGCGTAAAAGGTTGTTTAAACATGCATTATTCAAGAGCTTAATCTGACTATTGCAGGTCTTTCTTTAGCCCTGAAATGTTTTCTAAAGTATTAATTAGACATTAATTAACCTATCCAGACCATAATCAACTCTAGATGGCATCGGATTTCTCCGATATTAAATAGATTAGAATGGTTCAGTGATACTTTGATTTAATCAAATATGGAGGACCGAGACTTAGCTTCAATCAACTAGTACGGTGGTTGAAATTATTGCACACGTCTGTCAAACCTTCAAAGGCTAATATCTTCGCTTGAAATAGAGTAATTTGAATGAAATTTTCAAATTATTCATTTTACATCATCTAATTTCTAACTATTATAGCAAGAATGGCCAGTTCTTTATCTAAATCTTACATAATGTATCTAAGTAGGTAGCTGAATAGAATGACGCCAAATCAGAGAGAGAGAGAGAGAAATGGGGTTTAACGTCCACTCGACACAAACTAGGTCATTTCGGGACTAACATATGGTTTAATTTTATTTACATAATTCGCTTGCGCGTAGGGGTCTTTAGCAGTGGGAGGAAACCGGAGGACCCGGAGAAAACCCACGAGGTTGGACAGGCGACCCTACTCCTTGCCACGTACAACCGGGGATTCGAAACCACGCCAGTCGACTCAATGACAGACTTTATGATACAGCGCGCGCACGCTAACCATTCAGCCATCCAACCCCCCCACGCCAAATCAGATAAAGATGCATTATTTAAGATTTAATTGAATCATAATTCGTGTTTTTAATTTCGATTATTAATGGATAAAGTTGAGTTTGAGGTTTAGCTCTTTTAAATTCCATTCATCGCCCAGCAGTAGCCATTCTGGACTTAATCTTCGCTATATGTACTAGTCCGGTGGCTGAAAGCGGGGGGGGGGGGGGGGGTTGCCACCCGAGCTGTGAATTTTTGAGACCAAGTTTTCCTAGACCAGTTTTTTGCGTAGATTCCGAATCTGGGTGGTGATCAGGCGTTTGGGGGGGGGGGGTATGATTATGTTGACATAAAGGATGATCATGTTATATATTAATAAAACATACATTTCTAGGACTGTCCATCTCTAAAGAAGTGTATATAATGCCCCTGTCCAACTGTTTAGATTTGTGGCGAGGTGGGGTTGAGGTAGCAGGTGTGCGTGTGTAACAATTCGCCATATATACCTATGGAGGAAGTAATTATAGACCAATATGACACTGGTAATAAATATAGATCTGCCCCCAAGTTCACAAAGCATTCTCAGGCTTAAGTTAAGAATTTACTCGACTTTCAATCACTGTTTATGAGAAATATCTTTAATCCAGAAACACAAAACTTTCTACATAGTTTCTTGTTGATGTATTTGATACATTCAAACAACAAAAGTTTTATACCGGGCTATATTTTGGTTAAAATAAAGCGAACAATTTTGAGTAAATTCTTAATTTAAGTCTGATAATGCTTTGCGAACTCAGTGCCAGGACAATGGATATACCTACAGACACGTTGGTACTGAATGACATGGAATTAGATGGATTCATCCTTATACTGTTGTGTTATGACACCGTGTCTTTCAGATTGTCAATTATAAATATTCCACATAAAAAACGAGACATGTATATCTAAAGATGCAATATGTATGATTTGGATGAGAGAGAGAGAGAGAGAGAGAGAGAGAGAGAGAGAGAGAGAGAGAGAGAGGGAGGGGGGGGGTTTAACGCCCACTCGTCACAAACTAGGTCATTCCAGGATTAACATATGGTTAATTTTATTTCAATAATTCGCTTGCGCGTCATTAGCAGTGGGAGGAAACCGGAGAACCCGGAGAAAACCCACGAGGTTGGACAGCCGACCCTACTCCTTGTCACGTACAACCGGGAAATCGAAACCAGGCCAGTTGACTCAATGACAGACCTTACGATACAGCGCGCACGTAATAACCATTCGGCCATCAAAACCCCCTGATTTGGATAAAGAGTGGACCATTCTTGTTATAAACTTCAAAAATAGATAATGAAAAATGATAATTTCATTCAAATTACTTTACTTTACTCTAGGCGACGTTATGAGTGTTGGAAGGTTTGACAAGATCTAACGTAGAATGTTCTATATCGTAGCAACGGTACTTGACAATCGAGTATAAGTCTCGATGATCCATTTAATGTTAAATTTATATTTTAAAACTAGCTGGTGTTCTAATCCTTTTGTCATGTTAATAAATGTTTAAATGATTGATATAAGATTTAAAGCCAGAAAAAAGACCTGCTATAGGAATATTTTATCTCTTACATGATGCATCTTGAATCAGGATGGGAATGAAATTTTGCCCGGACAGCGGCGCTACGGCCTACGCTTATATCGAGTTCCAAAAGTGATCTTTTACGTACACGGGACCTCGGTTTGGAAGAGGATGTTTTTAGAATAATGGCAAATTATTTCTATTCGTGACGAGATAAGTACTTTATTTACACAGATGTGAACACAGCCAAACATAGCTTGACTATATCCATCTGAGTATTAACCGTACCTTATTGAAAAAAAAAGGTGATTAAATGATAAAGTACCATTTAAAGTAGCTAAGTCTCTAACTCAATATCATACAAAGTGTTACACGTTGAAAACATGAATAATTTGTCAATTCAAATCAACATGGATGTTGTGATCTTACCAGGAAAAGGTAGGCTTCTGATAACCAATATTTAAGACAAAATAACCATTTTACCATTGGGTACACGAATAGTGTACCATATTGCGTTTCAGCGTCATTTGTAACAAGTGACCAGAAAGAACGAGGCTAGACATATTCCACAACACTATTGTCAAACATCTTATCTGGAGATCATGCGCAATAGACTGGAATAACCAGGCGCTAGAAATTACCATTCGGTTGAGACTCCTGTCGTATTTCGCTGGACATAACTGATTTGAAATTAAGAGTCAAAACGGAAACAATTGAATGTAAACCAGTTTATATACAATCAGATTACATCATTATATGCGTTGCGACCCCTTAGGGTCAATTTCTAGGTCGGTCCCAAATAGTAGCGATTGAGCTCCTTTAACACATGTTTTTGATAACATGATTTTAATAAGACGGAAGTCGCCACTTATCCGCTTTTAATTATCTTATATAATACAATGGTCACAAGCTATGGAATACAATTACTGTTTATGACTGAACGATGTCTTTATAAAACAATAATCGTATTTCGTATAATATATCCAGTGCATTTCCACTCAGTTTAAGTGCATGATGTACGTACTTCATGCCGTATTTATAAACCATCTGTTTATTTTCTTATTTAAAGATATATTATGTAAGATTTAGATAAAGAACTAGCCATTCTTGCTATAATAGTTCGAAAGTAGATGATGTAAAATGAAGAATTTGAAAATTTCTTTCAAATTACTCAATTGCAAGCGAAAATATTAGCCTTTGAAGGTTTGACAGACGTGTGCAATAATTTCAACCACCGTTCTGGTTGATCGAAGCTAAGTCTCGGTCCTCCATATTTGATTTAATCAAAGTATCGCTTAACCTTTCTAATCTATTTAATATCGGAGAAATCTGATGCCATCGAGAGTTGATTAAGGCCTGGATCAGTTAATTAATGTCTAATTAATACTTTAGAAAACATTTCAGGCCTTACGAAAGACCTGTAATAGGCAGATTTGCTCTTGCATAATGCCAATTACAGGTCTTTCTTTAGGCCTGAAATGAAAAGACCATAATCAACTCTTGATGCC